AGGGGTGAGAAAAATTTCTAGCCACGCCCACAAAACAGGATCTTGCCGACCTCTAACGGGTTCTTTTTAAAATTTCCGACGAGCACCTCCGTCGTTCTTTTATGGGAGTCGCCCGGGATTTCTTGTTCAATATGTTTTAGTTTCTAAACAACACTGAAAGATGGGAGTGGAAGGGAACGCATGTCACTGATTGTGAACACCAATATCCTCGTTAGGCACCAACATGGCCACACGAGTTAAACCCGACGTCTTGCACGGGCTATTTGTCTTCCTTGAAGAGCTATTGATCATTTGTTTGTTCGTCACGGGTAGTTGCAGCTTCCAAATGAAAAAAAGCTACTCTAACGTCGTTATTACTCGTTTCAACAGCCATGTGATGAAAAGAATCCAGGGCTCCGCGGATAAGAATGGACCGGAAACAGAACGATTCGAGATTGCTTAGGCTTGCTTTGCTTGCGGGTGAACGTGACATGCAGACATCGTAGCTGCATCTAGTCTTCGTTTTCGCCACGCTACAGTATGAGGCACTAATTGAAAAGACATAACTGATTTGGTTTTAGCAAGAGGTGATCATCTCTTTGATTTTATTAATATCTACTAGAATAATCGTAGTTTGTCTTAAGAACGTTATTTCTCTTATTTCTCTTATAAGTTCGTCGGGATTGCAAGTAAAGTATTAAGTGGCACGCGCTCGCAATATTAAGTCTGTGGACGACTAGACTAGAATAATAAGGGCGTGTTGAATGTTATCATCCGATGCCGAAGGCTGATAACTAGAGTTTTTAAAGAGAATACTGGTTTTATTAACATAAATGAGCCCGAAAAATTTATTTTACAATTTTATGATTTATCTTGGTTTTTTTTTGTTGTTGTTCTAGTTCTTATTTACAACGATTTGAAAGAGTAGGATCTCTGTTCAGTTCAATTAACGATTCTGTTTAGCGTCATTAGCTTTGGGATTGTATGGGACGATCTGGTGACGAGCATTTTGGAATGTGCGGTGTCTGGCACCGCCACCATATACAAGACAGGACCACGTGACCTTGACGTAGAAATGCAGGCACATCGTGGTTTTACTATAATCTTTAGCGCGGTTCCGGGTTACACTTCAATGTGCTTTTTCCGTCGGATATTTGATACCTTATCTTTGATAGACATTTTGATCGAGAAAGTCAATACTAGCTCATATTGTGAAACAAATCACAAAAAGAGAAATCTACAAGCCTTGTGTAAAGTGAAATATCAACAAAGAAAAATATACAAGTTGTGCACAAAGAAAAAACATCAAGAAGAAAGGTACAAACGATGCACAAGATGAAAAAAAAAAACTCATGAAAATAAAAATCACAAGTTGTAAACAAAGAAAAAAGATCAACAAAGTTTGCGCAAAGTGAGAAATCGACAACAAGAAATGTGTTTTGCCAAAATTGGGAAATCAACAAAACAAATGTGCAAACAGTGCGCTAAGTGAGAATCCAATTGTCAAATGCACAAGTTGGGCGCAAGGGCAAATAGATTAACATGAACCTTTCTCTCCAATGTGATTGAGGTGGATTTTTGGACCACTGTATCTGCATTGTCTCTCGACTTGATACTGTTAGTTTGGGTTTCTGTATTTTTCCTATGGTGCGAAGTTCAGATTTCTGCATTGGACTGACCAACAATTTTTGTATAAAGTTGAAAAATTTTAAACTGAAACTGATCATGAATTGCTTTAAGTA